CGTTTAGCAGAGAGAGCGTTAGCGTTGAAGAGGGCAGCACCGATGAGAGTCGCATCAATGCGCAAATCAACGGGCAAGGAAGGGGTCCCATTTCTCGGGTTCTGGGCTTTTTCTGATTTTTTTTCCTTTCGTGCATCACTGACCATCTTGAACTTAATTTCCAATGAGCTGCTTTTTCATCGTAAAATCCGCCGCTAAAGGCATACTGTTATCCATTGCATTTTTATTTCTCTTGAGAACGAACGAAAAGATACCAAATGGATCGATGGTTGGGGAAAAAGAAACCACCGTTAATTCGAGAATAAGGGCCCGCCTTTGTTCAGGCTCCAAAGGAACATCGGAGGCAAACAGTCGGACTAGGGATAGTTGGCGGCAAGGAGAGGAAAAGGAATTGGAGAAGAGAGAGCATGAATATGATCGAGCGTAGGCTCAGCTTCTGGCTTCAATTCTTGAGCGAGACTCTAGTGACCTGGTTGGGGTTTTCTTTTGAAATATCACACGCGTGTACAGGGTGGCCGAAAATATAGGACGCGGCTTTGACCGTTTGCTAGCACTCAGCCGTGGAATTTCATTAGAGTGTTTCAGAATTCTTTGAAAGCTTCGAAACCTGTGTACGAAGCATCATAAGTTGTTTGATCCGGGAAGTTCTGAACTCTCGCCATGAAGATTTTTTTTGCATCGACTCCATTACCAAGAGGCTGCCCAATGACGGTCTCTGAAATTGCAACTTCGGAAAGCGACTCGGTATTCCCTCTTCAACTCTTTGAAACATGTTCGGTGCTCTCAAGGTTCAAGCACACGTCTCTGGGATTGCGAAAAGTGGAAGTTCAAGAACTGTGCACACTCAGAGGATTGGGGCAATCACCTAGAAGAGGATGGCTCACAACGATGAAGCCAGCGTGAGTCACATCGCTTTTGATCTCAGGATCTGCCGTCACTCCTTCCAGAAAATCTTGGGAAGCAATCATTATTTGAAGAGGTTACCGACTCTTTCTATGCTGGTTTTTATTGGAGCAACCCGAATAGATTCAACTGATAAAATGCAAAAAGTTTCTGCACGAGCTCGAGGTGCTCTCTTACGGATTGGGTTAATGAGAAAATTTTCGAACTAAACTTCTTTGCGACCACCAAAGTCAGAGGCAGTTGTTGCCAAAAAGTGAGAGCAAGTCTCCGAGATAACGTCTAGTTTACAACAGACTTTCTCCCGAAGGTGTGGTAGTTTGTGACGGGGTAACATCCAAAAGTGCAGCTCCATTGGAGTTCATCTTCCACAAATGTTAAAATTAACTCGAAGGTCTTGCAAAAGACTTTAATGAGGTACGGTATGTTGTTCTGGATTTACGAGCATTTTGCTCAATGATCGTTTGCTCTTCAATGAAGCTGGGCTCCCTAATACGCGTTCAAATCGACCAAAGCCATCCTGGGCGCTCACTTCCCGGGCCACTGGGCAAGGAATTGTGACCTTCTTCCTCTCAGGCCCTTAACCCGATGGACTCCTCTATGTGAGGATGTTGTAGAGCAAGACCTCATGAAGACTTCTCAGCTCAGGAGTTGAGACGACATCGCCGTTGGCTACCTGCGGCGCACTGCTGATTTTGTCGTTGGACGTCAGAAGGCCTCTCTCAAAGCAGAGTCGTCAAATTCAAAGCACCTTCTGCACAAGTGATCAAATAGCTTAACTCTATCTTTGTGTGAAGTCGGTTTCCTGATCGAGTCTCTTTCTTGGCTTTTACACACAAAAACATGGCGTCCTATACTTTTCGGCCACCCTGTATTTTTTGATCGCACAGTATCTCATTTCTCACCTTGCAAGTGCCATCGTCGCAGCCGTACACCTTTGGAGACTCGTAATTTAAGGCTGAGACTATCCTGAACATTAACGATTACAAAGGATGTTGATCAGTGCAAAGCTATTAAAGGAACACATATAGTCTGAACTTTGCATGAGAAAAACGTAAACATGTGGTATCAGTGGTTTGTTTTGATTGACTTTTTGAAGGCAGCATACTGAATGTGAATTGCAGCTAATGAATATGACATAAAATATTCGAATGGCTCTCACCTGATGCAATACTTAGAGCCCTGTATCGTACAATTCTCTGTCGCCGTGGGAGGTTTACCATTGCAAACAGTTACACCTTTAAAGAATTAATGCGTTTTTATGGGGGTTGTTGCTTGCATCTATGCATCTATGAAAAGTAAATAAAATCCAAAGAAAAGCGTAGGTCTGTCAATTGGTGGTCTGCCTTATCCGCTGTTTTGCGTGCCCCTGCGTGTCGCGGCGCGACGTCGCGACTGTAGTGGACGAGTTGAGCGTCATTCGATTTCTCACAGGGGCTACCCCTACTCCTCCCTTTAACATTTTAGGCTCATAACATGGCCGGCGGAAGCCATCTGAAGCCGGTAGGGGAATGTGCTTAATCAGTTAATGCGGCTGAGTCGCTGTCTTGGTTTTTGAATGATTCCAACGAAACTTGTATTACAGGAGTATGCTGACCAACTCGGAATTTATTCACACCACGGGCGCCGTCTCCTCCGCCCTCGCGTACCTGAAATTTCAATTAAACTATTGATCTTGATCCCTTAAGACCGCACGAGCCGTCAGCAATGAAGCGGGCCTAAAAATAAGAAGAAAATAAAACGTTAAAGTTGACGGGCCAGCGCCAAAAGGCTTAATGTGGACGGCAGCAAATCTGTCGCTCCAATCGACAAAGTCTACTGTTGCCGCGCCCATCGAAAAAGTGCCGCGTCACGGCGCCGCGCAAGTGGCGCGCGCGACGGCGCCAGTCCCGGACGATTCTGTTGCACGCTCCCCTCGTGATGGCATTCCAACGCGTAGATACATTATGGGTTATCTGACTCCTGAGCGTAAACAGAATGCAGTCTTGGGTTTGACCCCTAGGCAGGAATGTCGTAGCTCCGCCATCTGTCACTGGACCATACACTCTGTATATAAATAAACATCATTTCGCATTTTTATATTAGGGCGGAAGTGGTGTAGTGGCAAGTGGCACGCTTACCACGCGAGCGGTCCGGGGATCAAATCCTGGGTCGTGAGTCGCCCGGGCCAACCAAGCCTTCCATCCCTCCGGGGTCGGTTAATTGGTACCAGACTTGTCTGGGAGGATAAAAACACTGACTTGTACATCGGCTGGCCCCCGCAAGTCATTGTATAGGCCATCGCATTCAAACGCCACTACGAATGTACAAATGGAAGTAGAATGCGTGCCGCATCCCAAAAGGGATTGATCAACGGCAAATGCTTTATCCTTTATCCTTTATGTTGTTGTATTCAACTTACGAAGCATATGCATTGTGCTTCTGCGTTGTGTTAGGTCAGAAACGGTTCCTCAATCTCTTCCAAAGCTTGTGCTGTACAACGGCTTTCTTCCCTTCAGAAAAACCTCTATAATCCAGTCTTGAATGGGAACTAAACAGTAGGTTTGAAAATAAGCAGACAACTTCGGGAAAGAATGGTGCTCGAAAGTATTGTTGTACATTTCTGTACATCAAGAAGGAAAACAGGGTGATAAGAACACGGATAAACTAAGGAAGTCTTGCGACCGTGCACGGCTTTCGTTAGTTGCGTCTACCGTGCTAGCTCCTCTTACGTTATTAAAAAAATCACACGCGCTGATGTATACGGCAATTGCGACGATATCACCCTCTCTCGCCTTTGCTTGGATTTGTTACAGAGCCTCTCAGTCATGAGTCACGGAGAAACGCTTATGATCGCATCGTTCAGTGGCACGGAGATTTTGAGATGACCCAACATTTCCCTTCTCAAGGCAAGTCAAAACTTCTCGTTTCCGCTACCATTGCTGTGTAGTGCTACAGATCAGGAGTGACTTGAAGGCACAGGCCGTGATCGAACTGGTGTGTTAGTTTGTTTAAATAGACAAGAAGTCAATGCAGCGGCAGTGACAGCGCCAATAGAAAAGCTTTGAAATTTCTCTGATGAAGCCGCGATCGTGGATCATTAACCGAGAAACAAGCGTTTGCGTGGATGCATCGAGAAATCGACAGGTAGTAAGTTCGGGAGGGTGATGAGGGCTGGACTCAGGGTAGCCGCGACTGATAGAGGCAACACCAGCGAGGTGCAAGGAAAGGCCTTAGCGCTCTTCCAACGCAGTTTTGATACGTGGCAGCTCTTGGGCTTGGGATTTCTCTTTCTCACTCTAAGAAAGACTACCTCTTGGCCTCTAATCCGAAACAGTGGCTTTAATAAATCTTCCACAATTCGGTAACTCTCAACATACCTGAATAGCACTGCAGACTCGAGGTGATGCCGGCCAGAGTTGCTAAAAGCGCGAGCACTCGCAAGTCCACAGAAGCCATAACTTCACTCTGTGAAACAGATTCGATTACACAAAGATATTGAAGCCAAATGAAGTTCGAAAGTGAGCGTATAATCAAGGAAAGGTGGCCTATCGCCACGCAGTTCTGCCCAATTCAAAAGTGAAGTCTTGGTAATACTCTTGACAGAACTTGCTGGAGGTTTACTGTGAAGGCTCAATATGCGGCAAACAGGTCTTCTCACCTTCAGGTGGCGCTGCGTGCTCGGCATAGCCATGCAAGCTATTTACCTCAGTTAAACTCGCATCTTTGCCTGGATATACTAAAAAGATCTACATGAATTGTTCTCCAGTACACATTTTCTTGCCTCCTCCTTCCATTCTTGAGTCATTGTCTTGATTCATGGCTCGATTATACTTGAAAATCTGGACTGTCTTTCACTTTTGGCCTCAGAAAAGATGCGACGTATGCTACCGCTAAAAGGCTACACTAGGCCAGTAGTCCAGTTAGCCGGTTGTACCTCTGCGTGTTTGCTCCGCGTTTCGCCTTCATGTCATACAAGCTCTGCTAGTTCCTGTAAAGGAGGAATCCACGATGCCGATTTGAGTTGAAAAAGGTACTTACTAGCGGAAAGAAAAGGCCAGAACTCCGAAGTGACTACATCGCAATTCGCGCACGAAGACAACCTAACTAGGCAATGATATCCTCATCGCGCGCTTTTAAGTTGCGGCGCGGTACGCCTCAATTGGTAAACCACTACCCGAGGTCTCTGGTCACCAAGCGTTCAGCGCTTGGAGAGAGTCCAACCGGGAGCGTAGCTGCCTTCTGATCGTTAACTCCAACTTCGAGAACTTTCGAAGATCATCGACATACATCTCTGTTAAATGAGATTTACGCAAAAGTGACTAACAAAAAGAGTGGACTGAATTTGCGATGGCTTGCCACTTCAAACAGCGGCGTTATCAAATGGTCTCAAATAGAAAAACATTTCCATTGCCACTCATCCGAAATGTACACAAAAGGTCACTCTGGCACCACAAGCATCGCTTAGCGATTCCGTAGTGATCCAACCGAATTCTAAAGAAATTTGAAAAGACCTTCTTCCCAAAAGTGAACACAAATTTCTTGAGAAGTATTCCATGCCATCTTCCAGAGGCAGTTGCGCCCTTCAAGAAACTGCGATAAACTTTTTGGCTGTTTCGGTGGGTTGTTGCTTCTCAAAATAACAAAAGACTTTAAAAAACTATAAGTTTGGCCCACTTGAAACCTAGGCGTTCTAATGAATGCGATATATATGACATAGAGTGTGGAAATGCGCGAAGCTCGTTTAAGATGGCACGGTCACGTTCTCCACACAAATGGCAGCATTCGTACATAAGATCAACATCGATCATGAGATGCCCGGAAGCGGTCTGAAGGTCGCCCAAGACAGAAGCCTGACGTTGATACGCTGCATGAGGAACATATAGTACATTGACCACCTTATCAGCTTTTACAGCTCAGGACGCGTAATAAATACTTAGATTCTCTCTTGAGTGAGGTAGAGGATTGATGACATAAGCGCACGGTACTTTCGCGACAATGGAGCTAACGCCTTAGCTTGAGCGCCGCAACCGCTGCCATTCTTATCAATCGCAGCATACGTAACGTCTGCGCCCTCGCGCTGTCTTGCATTTTCCCTGTCCTCACGACGCATAGTCTTTTCGTCGTACTGTCTGTCGTACCGTCAACCTTTCAGAAGGGTGTTTTTTTTTTTTTTTTCAACACTGGTGTTCCTATTTGAATTTCTCGCCTAATATTGAAACAACATAACACACTGATTTGATCGTGAGGCCCATTAGTCGGGAAAAAGGCGCAGTTCACCAGATTAGCGAGCCTCGCCTCGAGCGGGGTAACTGCTGAAGAAAAACAAATAGAAGTTACCGAATTACACTTCTACAAGAATCTTGATTGCCTCTATTCTCAAGACATCATTACCCAATCGAATGGCGGACAGCAGCACAGGAAATTCAACATCCCATAGCTTCACAAGCTTACGCAACTTTTCTCTCAACACTTTTCCTTACTCCAAGTATACGCAATTGATTTGATTGCACGTCGCATAAAAGGTACTGCGCCAGTTCTGCAGTTTTTTTTGCCATTTCCTTGTGTCCTTGTTTTGTCATCTCCAAGTCAATGAGGATCTCCTGAGAGTATCTACATATTCACAAAAGTTTCTCTGAGGGATTGGTGAAGCAGACCACTTTCTTCTTTTCGAGTTGTTTGTTTACATATGTTTTCGTCCCCTAATTAGGTTTAGGTGAGTTTCCCGGATCTTTCTTTTTGAGATTGTTCCTTCTAACTCGGGCAGAAACTATGTGCTCTTCCTGGTCTAGATGTTTGTTCAGTCATTCCTGTCAATTTATGAGGAGTGTGCTGATAATAGTTTTACGGCTACCGCATCAGTGAAAATGCATAAGAGGGACTGCAGATATTCCGTCATTTGAGAACACTTTGGGCACAATATTGACTAAGGGCTATCAAGGAAGTTCACAACTATTTTGCAAGAGAACTGCTCCATTCAGGTTATCGGCTTGCCGCTTTGTGTAATCTTCACAATTAGACTATCTTTCAAAACGCACTTATCTCTTATGAATAATTTTCTGGGGTAGGCAAGCTCTTTTAGAAGCCAATACGTTTTCTACCTCAACCTTCAAGATACTGATATTGGTTATATCGAAGGGGATTGAAGCTTTTGACAACACTGTAGGCCAACCGTAATCGCTCTAGCTACTACACAATCTCTTCAGGCGGTTGACGGAAGATAGTCCTAGGGGCAGTAGCTCGAACTACGCAAGATCCATTCCCAGTGCATGTTTTTAGAATGTCCAGATCTTCAACAGGGTGAATAACGGTCGAGGAAATCCTCGACCATAGCTCTCTACCATGCGAGAGTAGTGCCGAGAGTGAACATCCGCGCGGAGAGCACAGACGGCACGGCATGGCGAGTGTGAATGTCCGCGCGAGAGATCGTCTCTGATCGGGCAGAGAATCCTCGACGTGCCGTTGAGGAATCCTCAAGCGATATTCACCCTGGTCGGGAAGTCCACGTTGACCTCGAACCGTGCACCATGTTCTCATGGAAAATCTCCTGATGCCGCTGAGCTGAAAGGCTGTTGTGCAGCTAATCATTTGAATGGAATAGCTCTTCTATTTTCAGATGGGATCATTTGGTTCAGATTTAGCAAAGTGTAGTTAAAGGTTAATCAGGATTGGGAGGGCGAGTAAACTTTTATGTCTCCTCCCTCCCCTTTATACAGGGATGGCTAAACTAGCGAGACACCTTGCCTATGTTGCACATCATCAAACTTTCCGTCGCACTGGGTGGCACTGCTGATGAACGTTTTGCGGCAAAATATCTCTAGGTCCTGTCATAAGTACAGTCATAGATCATAAGTCATAAGTAGAAGCAGATCGTCCTCCACTGCCCTCAAAATATGACGTCGTCTTCCATCAGCGTTGAGCTTAAGAAGAGCTGCCGTAATCGTTCCAATCTAAGGCTGCTACGAAACTTCGTTAATCGGTTTATTGGTAGATGCTCCCAGAGACAATAGCTCTAGAGCGCAGTGCGAATTGCGTGTTGGTCAGCACCCTCAGAAAGCCACCTGTCTCATAGGGCCATTTCCTCCTTCTTCGACCTTCGTTCTTATCGTGAATTCGTCCTTTAGGTTGGGATCAGCCTGATTGAATTCAGCAACGTGCGATTAATGCTGTCTGAAATGTGGAGTGAAGTGTCAATTTTTTGGCCACCCCCATATGTGGTTGATGAGAAAATGCCGACAGCACCACAGCGATATCGAAGCCTGCGATCTGAAGGCCCTGGTGCTGCGTAATCCAGCTTTTCGTTCGCAAGCAACGGTCAAAACTAACCTTTGCCCACTTGTCCCCTCTCCACCACGAATCAGAATCAACGCGAAAGTAACATGCCCAGCTCCCACATTTTGAAATTACAGTTGGAAGCTGCGTTATGGCAAATAACCCCATTCTTGCACAAATAATGAGAGAGTTAATTACCTGATCAAACCCTGTAGCCCATCACCCCTGTAGCCCATCACTTATGAGGGGACAACTAAGGAACAGTTTTTAGAGAACTTTTCATAGTTTTTTTTTATCACAGAGCACTTAACTTTTTTGAAGAAGAACAAACTTCACTCTGCAGTTATGACCTCGTGTGCGCCAAATAGTAGTTGACTTTTTGAAGAGAGCGTCACAATCCAAATCTACAAGACCAGCAAAAACTTTATAAACGAAATCATAATCGAATAGCTTTCTTCTCATTTCTAGGGAGTCTTCGTTAAGATGTCTCAGCCTGTCTTTATATGACATATGAAAAATACCCTCGCGAGCAAAAATGCGCTCAGTAAATTTGGACTGAACATGCTCAATGAGCTCAACCATATTGCGGGTTGACGGGCTCCACACCATAGGACAGTATTCTAAAATGGGGCGAACATAAGTGACAAAAAGCTGAAACAAGGTTTTGATGCTCCTAGAGGAGAAAGCGCGCAATATGAAGTTTGCCCTGCAATGTGCCAAGTGCACTACACTGGTAATATAACCACTGAAGGACAAGGAGCGGGAATAGGAAACGCCCAAATCTCTAAACACATCAGGTTCATTTAGCTCAACTCCACTGACTGAAAACGTTGGAGCAGGCAGATTTGGAGGACCCAGGCGCAGGACAACTGTTTTATCCAAGTATATGGCAAGCCTCCATTTGCTGGCCCATCCGGATATGGCATCAAGAGCACTTGTAAGAGGAGGGGCTGACCGATACAGTACACCTTGACATCGTTCGTATACATTGAACAATTCCAGAGGAAGAGAGCCAGGCAAATCGTTAATGTACAAAATAAACATTAGAGGCCCCAAGCAAGATCCTTGAGGAACTCCATTTACAGTTTGGTAAATTCTAGAGCATGAGCCTTTGAGAACGACCCTCTGGTATCTATTAGAGAAAAAAGGCTTGATAAAATTGAGGAGAGACCTGTTATTCCAACTTT